TCTGCTATTGCACCCGAGTTTTTCTCGCATCCGTTTTTCTCTTTTTAAGCAAACTACTTTCGTAACAACACTTTTTCCGCAGACTTTTGTTGTTCATCAGTTATTTTTTTTCTTTTTTAAGCAAATCGAGCATAGGTGGTGGAAGAGGGAATACCCTAGTTTATGTACGCGTATGTATATATATATATACGTTATATAAAACTCTCAGTGAACTATATATATATATATATGTATATATAATAATATACCTTTGCTCTCTCGTTCTCTCATTTCTCGCCGCCGAACGACTGCACAAAGTTTGTCAGCCAACTTTCTGTATATACGCGTACTACACACCTATATTATTATACGATGCATACTTCACCGCCACTGTAGCACATTTACATTTTCAATTTTGCAAAATGTTCTTTTTACCCGCGATGCACCGAGTGGAGGAAACGTCTGGTGCGCATTGAATCTGTTTCTTAGGTCCGTCCGTAGACCAAAGTCCTTTTCAAACTTCCATATAACATTCTTTAATACTAATATATAACCGACTTAATCGAATACACAAGCGTACATATCACATCGTAGCTATTTTGACGTCGTCGACTTGGACTTAATTTACGTGACTATTCATCATCGTCCTCGTCGTGCTATTAAGATTGCGGTATTATACATATTACATATACAGTAAGTTCTCGTTACAACGAATACCGATACAACGAAAAATCCCGTTATAACGAAAGTAATAGAAGTTCCCTGCCGAAAAGCTATTAAAACAATGTTAAACTAATCTCAATATAACGAAATGATTGATTTTTAAAAATCCCGATACAACGAACTATTTGTACAGCGTACAGGTTAAAATATATGTATTTTCCATTAAAGACAGCAAAGATGAGGCCACCGATGAAAGTAGTGGAGACGAAGACGAAGAAGCTGTGATGGGAAATGATGGGGAGCGGGTCATGTCTTCGAATGTCATGTGTTCGAAGGTCATGTTTTCGAATGACGAGTGTTAGAAAAGTTATTTGTTCGAATAGTAATGTAATCGAAAAATTATTTGTTCGAAAAATATATGTTCGAAAAGTTGTATGTACGAAATATTATTATTTTATTTTTAAACTTAAATTTTATCGACGTACCCGATTAATATCGTTGAATAAAAGTAATAAAGATAATAGATAGTAGATAACATTGCTTATATCTTATTAGTTATGACTATTGTGGTGTGGTCTAGTATACAACAAAACGTGATTGTAGTCTGTACTGAAGCTTAGTTTGTTGAGAATTTAATACGTTTTATGTAATTTGTCTTTTTATTTGAATAAAATGTGTTCTATAGAAGTTATAAAAAGTATACACGGAGGGAAAGTATTAAGTGTAAATATTTTTTTATACATATTAAATAAAAATTATAAAAGAAAACGCGATGACCGAAACGTTTTTTACTGGACATGTTCAACTAAATGTGGAGCAAAAATTTGTACTGTTGAAACATCGAACGGAGAACACGAAATCGACGAGTTTTCTACATTTTCAGAAGATCAGCACTCTCACGCAGCGGACCCAATTGCTATTGAAGCAAAAAAAATTAAAGAAAATATCAAACAGCAAGCATTAACATCAAATGTTGAAAAACCAATTCATGGTCTCTTTTGAAACCTTTGTTCAATAATAATAATGAAGAAAAAAGTTTAATAACATATTTTGAAGAAACGTACGTACTTGGAAAAATCGGTATGAGAACAAGGGGTAGGCCTAACAATGTGCCTTCACGAAATCATCCATTATTTCCACCAGATATTTGGTCAGTTTCCAATCGTGTTAGATCAGAACTTCCGAGAACAACTAATACAGCTGAATCGTGGCATAGAAAGTTAAATCGACTTACATCTCCTCATCCAGGTAAAAATCATATTTTTATATATTTTTTTTTATAAATATTTTATTTCATATATTTTATTCAGGGCTTCACAAATTTATTACAATCGTGCAAAAAATTTAATCGGAAACAGAATCACAGATTGAAATGTTAATATCCAGTCATCAAATAAAGAAAAGAAATATGGTGTGGACCGCAATATGAGATTGCAATCAATTCAACAGCGAATAATCGACAATCCTAAATATTGTAAATTGGAGTTTTTAAATGCAATTGCATATAATTTAAGTTTTTAATTATTGATTTATAACTGCATGGGTGTATTTTTCCAAATATTTTTTTTTTAATAATATGTTTATTAATTTTTATAATATTCGATAGCTTTTTAATTTAAATAAATAATTTTCGTACATACAACTTTTCGAACATATATTTTTCGAACAAATAATTTTTCGATTACATTACTATTCGAACAAATAACTTTTCTAACACTCGTCATTCGAAAACATGACCTTCGAACACATGACATTCGAAGACATGTACCCCCACCCGAAATGATGTGCGCAATGTCACTTCATCAGAAGCCTTAACAAGTTTGGAAGTAATGAGAACATTCATTACATCACAGAGTGATGTACCAGACTTCATCTTTACAAACATTCACCAACTACAAAATTATTTACTTTCTATTAAAACAGCAAACCTTATTCAAAAGAAAATTGTTGATTTTCTATAATAAAGTTATTTATTTTTTCGTAAATTATTTACATTTGTTAAAATTGTCAATGATTTATATGTAATAAAGTTATTTATTTTTTCGCAAATTATTTACATTTGAATTATTTATTTATTACCTAGTATCTTATATTTTAGCAAATTGGGTCAAGATGGTAAGTATTTCAAAGAGGTAATTTTTCGACTTTCTCAAAAGTTATTAATTAATGCCGTGGGAAAAACTATCAATTACGAAAAACCGCTATAAAAGGGATTTTAATTTCGAACGCTTTGTTTATCACCTTAAAACCGAATTAAAAATTGTGACGAATTTAAAAACACTAATACAATTCACAGACTGTAATAAATAATTAAAATATATTATAAAATATCCATACAAACCGTCTCCATTAAGAATCGTTTTTCGGTTTGTTTTATCATTGAATTCAAATTTAATACAATCCATCATACAGCGACCCACTTGTAACCTACTGTACACCAGAGCGACATCCACTTAACCCGCTTTTCTATATTATTATATACTCATGGTGTCCATAAGAAATAAAATATTCACATAAACAAAATGTTTTTTTTTTATAATTGTGTGGCTGAAAATGAAATAAAACGTTCAAACGTGTAACCACGGAAATACCGCCGACCGTTTGCTATCAACAGAAAAATACACAAAATATATAATATTATTAATTTAGTTTAAGTTTGTTTGAAATTCGAAATCGATTCTTGTAATTTTAAGTCAGTATATTAAATGCAATTATTGTACATTTTGAAATATCACATGCAACATCTTACTGAATGGACTGCAAGCATCATAAACGTAAAATCGACTATGGTGATCAGAAAAATCGTGAAAACTGGAAATCTCAAAGGTAAGTGAGCATTGTAATTGTCAACCTAACTAATTTTACAACTCATCAGTGCCGTTATTAACATTTTGCAAACCATGGCTACATTATTTGCACCTCAAACACATTAAAAAAAGTAATTTCTTTAAATGTAAATATAAGGTATAAATACTTTTTAGTTTTTTGTGGCATAAATGCAGTTTAGCTGCCAAGTGATTTTTAAAAATTTTTTCGGGAAATATAATTTTACAGTGTACGTAGGTACAATATTATCGTACGTGCGTAACGATTGAAGAATTTGACTCTGTTGGCCCTGCGCGAGTTCTTAGCAACGGTGAGACATTCTCACGCAAACCTCCTGCCAGAGGATGTCTCGAAATTTGTCCCGTTCAATCCACAATAAAGAGACACCGAAGCACAACAACTGTATAGTGACTAACAATCACTGCGAGAGTCGTGGACGGTTGAACATTTCATCAGAACACATTAAGCCCCCGATAATAATTATTATTATGTACCTACCTATTTTAATGAGTTAAGAAAAATGGTGGAATTGAAATTTTCGGTCGGACTTATGAGTTTAAAATGTATAGCTTTTTAAAAGAAAATTTCATATTTTCATCCGTTAGTATTGACTCTTAAATTGTTAGGAAAGCAAATGTTAAATAAACAAATTAACGTTTTAAAAAAATTTATTCATAGTGTCAAAAATTCATAATTTCAACAAATAAAATCTCGAGGTACCTAATACATATAAAAAACAAAAAATAATGATAGGATTTTTAAGCATCAAATGAATAAATAAAATATGTATTATTAATTAATGTTTATTTTTAAAATACTTAATTACAATTTCGTTATACATACTATATTATATTGTGAAGATTTCATAGGAGTGTTGACAATGAGTGACATATTCACTCAAATCACAGAGGTACCTACTAAAAAAACTTAAACAAAATTTATGCTTATTATATCCTAAATTATTGCGTACAACGCTAATGATAAAACATTATAATATTATACATATAGGTACTAACGTAATAGCATATTAAAGTGAAGTATAACGCAAATGCATAAAAATTCAGTCAAATGTAATAAGGCGAATCACAGTTAATTGCTTGGAGGTAAAATATTTCGATATTTATTATAAGCGTGAATCTGCGTAAAAATAATATAATAATAAAAATACTATATAATAGGTAGGTACGTATAACTGATTGTCATAATATTTTGTCGCTGGCTGAAAATAAATAAACATTCAAGTGAGATAACCACGGATACTACCTAGCCGGTCGGTACATCGACGCTGTGTAATAAACAAATTTAATTATTTAGTTTAGCTAAAAAAAAACAGTGTGTACTACATTTAACAATTTTTATTTTTGGAACTTCGCGTCGATTTATATAGTACCTATTTTCGAAATAAACTACAACCAAAAGCGATCACGTTATGATGGAGATAAGAAAAATGGCCTCCACCCTCGTCCAACGCTCTACGGTCTTCGTCGCAAACTCCCGGAAGACGATGTGCATCAGGCAGACTACTCCACGTGATGCGTCGGACGACGGTGGACGACGTTGTTGTCAGAGCTCGAAAAATGGCCCCTTCCCTCTTAAGACGCTTGATGATCGTCGTCGCAGACACCCTGGAGGAAAAAATAATTTATGCCAGGCTGTTGCCGCGAATCTCTGGGCTGTACTGCGACGGCCATACGACCTTCAAGGCTTTAAGGTTTATTCACGACGTCGAAAAAATCGTCAAGTGAGTGTTTTTTTCACAGTCGTTTTAAGTCAGTGTTTAGACAAATTTTAATATTCATTGAGAGTTAGGTACTTGCAACACATCGAGTGACCACATCGTTATAGGACGGAAGACCGTGTAGGTACTTAAATATAAACAAACAACAACCTCCGCTTAAATGAGGTGGGTAGTTCTTTTTTTTGTCCTTATAACGCGTTCCGTAGGTACTATCTCCGAATAGGAGGTAGGTACCATACGTACGACTGTTTTTTGGGCGTTAAATAGATAATTTTTTTTATAGCAGTTGTAACGGGTTTCTTTAAATTTATTTTTATTGTTAGAAAACTTACATGTTTCTTTTTCATGGATAACTGTATTTTTGAAAGAACTGTTTAAGTGTTTATATACCTACAATTATTGTGGTATTTATGCATATGATACCAATCAGTTAATACATACTGTTTTTGAAATGTATTGTAGGTAATTTAATTAATTAGTAGAATTTGATATTACTCTCTTAGTTCTTACACATGTGCACGAACAGCAGCTAGTGTCTCAAATTATAGCCCGATTATTTAATATTAAAGTGATATACCTAGTACCTACACAAAAACGAGTTTTGGACAAAAGTTCATTAACTATCCTGTTAATTTTAAGTTTTAACTCTATGCCAGTAGATGTGAAAATAAATATTTTCATTGATAATACTAACATCAATAAATTTATAAATTATATTTTGTTATAATTCATTGATTAAGTTTATGATTCGGTATTACAAAACCTATTAGGTAAAAGAATCAAGAAAAATTTGTATATTTCTTTTTTTTACTATCGTTTATTTAATTATGTAATTTAGTTAAATTATATTTGTACACTGTGACTCCGTAGATAGTTTATACTTTGTATCATTTTATGTTAACCAAATAATATAAAAATTAAAAAAAAAATAAACTTTACCTGAGCAAGGACTACCGTAAATTAATAATATGAGATTGTATGATGGCCATACCACTCATACGACTCATAACTATGATCTATATATCTTGGAAGTTGGATTATTTATTGTGAATTATATAATATACATATACATCTATATAATTAATTATGTAGTTTTAAAAAAATATATGTATTAATCAAACAGGTAGTTTTACCTTATTACTTACCTATCGAAACCGTTCAAAATCTATTGGATGAAATAGGTAGCTGAAATATGTGCTTGAAAATACATCACGATAAATATTAAAGATTATAATATTATTATATGTTGGTACCAGGTACCTATACAACCTTTACGGATTATCGCATAATATCTATTATCCGTCTCGTTGTGTATTTATATTTTTTAAAGGCTCTGTCAAACAGAACGCATTATACGCACGTTAAAGTCGCTATTTTACGACACAAGTCGGCGTGGTGCTTTCACGCTAGTGAATAACGCGGCGTTGTAACAAATTACAAAATCACGCGGCGTGAAAATAACGCTTTCTGTTTGACAGAGCCTTTAACAAACAAATTGTTATTCTTATTATGATTTATGAGTTATGACTATAGAGAAATATCTATTATTCGCATCATTATATTATCCACAGGCAGTTCTTGAGGGAAACCGGCCTAGGTTGGGGCAAACTGGCAGCGAGCAGACTTCGCCGTTCGCCGGTAGTACGGCAAACGGTGCTGCAAGTGGTGCGGCCAGCGGACGACCATGCGTCAAATTCATTGACCAGTTGTGCATTTTACGACAGAGATACCCGGCCACATTTGTTGATGGTACCATGGCGACCCGGGTGGCCCGTGCTGTTACCAGCGTCCTGGATGCCAGCGGTGGTCACCAGACGCTGTTCTATACCGCGGCCGACTAGCGCACATCAGTTTCTCGACGACGATACCGTGGTGCCGCTCGTGATAGCTCTTAACAGAGGCCCAATCGAATCAGTGGACGACCATGGCCAAGTCCAGTTGGACCACGATCGGAAGACATCTTCGGACGTGTCGGACGTCACTTTTTTTTCGGTAATCGTTCTGGCACCATTGGCCGTATTCTGGACGGCGGGCATGTAAATCGCTACCTCGAGACGTAAAGGGAACTCATATTTTGATGTAAGTCCAGTATGACTATACTACTATATAGCTCTCAGCAGCGCAACTTGGCGTAAATGCATCTTCACCAATTTTTGTTTTTTTTTTTCAAATTTTTTTAAGTTATAATAAGGTTTCGTTGTTATTTATATATTTAATAGACCATAGAAACATTTTATTTTATAAATAATCCACGAATATTAAATCAGTAATAATAATAATAAGTATAGCGCACCGTAATAATATTACCATTCAAGAGTTAGACGCATTTTGGATCGATTCCACCAATACTGGCATTAACTGGCATAAACTGCCTTTAATGCATATTTCCCCACCATCTAACCTTTAAATTTTTTTGTGTAGTAAGAATTTCAAAGTTTGCAATATTACCAATGTTAGGTTAAATTCAAAGAACCGGATGCACCAGATGCACTGATACTAGATTCTGTTGATGCTATTTCCTAGTAACAAACAGTTTGAGAATGTCTACTTGTATAATAATAATTTCATTAATCTATTCTTCTCTTAACGTCCGTAGTATTTTCAAGACTTTGGATTGTGGTCCCGTTTTTGGAATCAATCTAGCTACCATTGATTCTGTCAAGTCTAAAAAAGCCATTCTATCTATTTTTTCCTCTAAAATAATTGTAATAAGTACCTAACAATAATATAAGGATTATAGTTATTAAAGTAAAATATATATATACCTGAAAATAGCTGTTGACGTTTAAACGTTGACGAACACTGGAATCGGAACACAGTAGCACTCAGTTACATACAGTCAACTGTAAAAGATTAAAGAAAATAACGAACGATTTCTGGTTGCAGAACAACTCGTTGTACAATTGTACATAAGTATCTACATAACCCTAAAAACGCTTCACGGTTCAATATTCTAGCTTTATTTTTATGTTGATTTTACAAAATTAAATAGTTAAAATATTTTAACTACCTATAGTCTTTGTTAAATAAACCATAATATAAGTTGGTTTAACGCAAACATGGTTTATCAATAATCAAGCAAGTAATAATTATTCCAACTGATAGATATTGGTTATTATTATCATAAATATAGTTGTTCTACAAATAATATTGTTTAAAAATTCTGTAATAATATAACAATATTAGAATAGTTATTTAAACAGACACACAATAGTTGTAATTATAATACATTTCTTTGATATAACAATATTATTTTTAACTATGAATAAATTGTTTAAATTTTCGTGTGGCTGTTTAATAACTGCATAATTGCAGTTAATAATATATTGATTTTCACATCTGGAATATTGACTGTTATTATTATTATAAAGATAAGTAAGCTGGGATTTTGATGAGATTTAATTTTTTTTTATTTTGTTTTAAAAGCTCCTTTAGTGGAAAATGTGTATTAGCTTAGATGATAATATACTAATAATGTTGTGTTATTGACTGATTATTTTATAATGATGTTTTCATATTGAATTTTGTGACAGGTCAATCGTCGCGAACTTGTTTGGCTATCTTTCTAAAAACCTCGTCGAACGTGCGACATTACCGTTATACTTCGTCCTGAATCAACGGCGAACGTGATTGGTCTGATGGAGTCATCAGCAACGGCTCACATGTGCGTTGGCCTGCGTTTCTGTATACCGGGGTGAATAACTCTGTGCTTGTTGCCGCCGTCTTTTGACATTCGCATCCATCATCACGCCTCGTCCGTTCAACGCCAAGCCTGAACTTAAGTGTCACGGCCGTCCTGGAACGTCGAGCCTGCACTTGAGTGCCATTTGCGTATCCACGAGGTATTAACTATTAACCAGAGCAGTCTGCCGATGGATATTTAACGTGATTGTGGTGTGCGAGCTTGTGGACCGGTAATCCGCCCTGTGCGTAACCCCCGTCCGTGTGTCCACAAGTCGTCACTCATCGCCACCCTTCGGTGGCTGTATAAAATGAATTTCGAACTTCGACAGTTGGAGATAAAATATTGTTATCAATATTCGTCTTATAAAATAATCATATTACATAGTGTTGATATTTTTTGTATTTATTTTCTTGGGTTATATATATAACTACATATTATTGTTGTATTTTTTTTTACGGTACCTACTGAATACCTTATACCTTATACAAAATGTACGTTATTATCTAAGTGCTGTTATACCTACATCCTTTATACTTTTACATTTTTATAACTCATTCAAATTATGTTTTTATTATTTACCTAATTATTCTTTGGGCACCCGTTTTTTTTTTGTTACTGAACCTATGTACCTCTACTGTTTATTTAATATTTATGTGTAATTAACTACACCCTTTATTCCTTATTATATTGTAAATTATCATATAATACATCTTGCTTAATATTTATTATAAATGTACATTACATTATTTTATATTCCTACATATAAATTTGTTTTTTATAATTATTATATTTTTTTCGGTACTGTTTACCTACCCAATAAGTTTATTCGTGTATCATTGTACTAAATTTTACTATTTAATTAATTATATAGTTTTTGGCCGCCGAATATATATATATATATATATATATATAATATGCATGTATTTGTTGTTTATTATTAGTATACTATGTTTTGGTACGTATTATATTATGATGCCTACTCAAAGCATTTATTTATTTATGTCATTAAATTGTACTTACTTAATTGTTCGCCTTGTTTCTGTTCCAATGCAAATCGCAGAAAAAAAACTTCTAATAGTCGTAAACTCGTAAATATAGTACAAAAAGGAGAGTTCTGAATACCAAACACACGAGACTTTTAGTTTCATATAGGAACGTTGCAATATGTCTTTCAAGATTGTTCTTTTTACATATACCTAACTGGAACAATATTTTGCACAGTGCGTTTTATTATACGTGTGTGCTCGACTTGGTGAAATAAGTGGTATAGTGGCTTGTGCATTATAGGGTAACGTATATATGTAGGGTTTTTTTGTATTATATTACGAAAATAATACAAGCTATTGACTATTATATTTCTGGTATATTATATGCACATTGGTGTCTTCAAACAAATTGTTGATAGCACGCAGGACGTTTTCGAATTGACTATGAGAAAATACACTATGTATTATATCTTATTGTTATACCAGCTATACTCTATGTCATCCTGGTTGAATTTGTTCCAGAAATCACCGTATCCATTTCTACCTCCAACGTCAGAATTTTTAGAGTTGCTTATATAATTTCGGTTCAGTGGGCATATTTTATTTTATTTTTTTATTGGTCATTTTACTTTTTTAAGCAATACAATGTCATTAAATTAAGAACCAATAGAATGTGCCAAGATTTGTTTAAAGAAATACATTATCTTTATAATTTTAATGAGTACCTATTTAGAGACGTGTGAAATTATTTTTTGTATAATGTTCACAATCCAAATTACTTTAATTTACTTTAATTTAATAACACTATAGTATAAAAACCAAAGTTAAAAAAGTTAAAAACTTATTCGATACAATATTATTAAAAAAAAAAAACACTGTCGAAATATATTATAATATAAATAAACTAATTTTATTCGATTAAACATTTACAAAGTGTTTATCTTCATCAAAAAATAAACAATATATTCACCAGGTTTCTACTATAATAATAATAAGAATAATATTTATAGCCAGCACAGTATTGCACAAAATAGTATAATGTGTTTATTTAGATAATAGCCAACACAATATAATATCAATTTTATGTACAACATAGAGCTTATACATAATAATAATAATAGTTACAAAGTAAAGTTTATATAAATAAGGTAATGATATTCCTCATGGCTTCAACGACGAAACCAAATTAGCTGGTGACGACTGGATGTTAAATTTTATGTAAAAATACAATTTCAGAGTGAGAAAGCCAGAGGCTACTTCAGTTCAGTTGGTCGTTTAATGGCTTTTAATAAAGTTAAAAAATGTTTATGTTATTCTTATTAAAGAACTAAGAAGTTGTTTTATTATTAATTTTTTACTAGTTAGGTAAATTCAAGACTCTTAAAATAAACCTATTTAGATACATAAGTTTTGAAAAATATATTTTGAATTGGTATTATTTTACCAGGTACCTACCTACCTATTATTAACAAGGTTTGTAAAAATTGTTAGGTTATTCTTATTAAAGAAGTTGTTTTATTAATAATTTTATACTAGTCAGGTATATTCAAGACTGTTAAAATATTTTTAGCTATACTTATAAGTTTTTTAAAATACCTATATTAATAGGTATATATTTTTAATTGGTATTATGTAATAGGCACCTATTATTAACAAGGTTTGTAAAAATTGTTAGGTTATTCTTATTAAAGAAGTTGTTTTATTAATAATTTTATACTAGTCAGGTATATTCAAGACTGTTAAAATATTTTTAGCTATACTTATAAGTTTTTTAAAATACCTATATTAATAGGTATATATTTTTAATTGGTATTATGTAATAGGTACCTATTATTAACAAGGTTTGTTAAATTGTAATGTTGTTCTCATTAAAGAAGTTGTTTTATTAATGTAAGTTGTTTAAATATTATTATATATAATATTAAAAGTTGTTGGGTTTATTTATATGTGTATGTCATCTTACCCCAGGGAAATGTCAACTTACCCCAGCACATGGGTAAGATGACGAATTTTGGTTTTTCTTTTTTATTTAAATAAAATTGGCTTAAAGACAAATGTTGACACTGATATTTTTTTACAACTGTTCCACAAGTTAAATTTTAAATTGGTGTAGAATTTGGACTTGTATCATAAAAATTAGCCATTTGAGAGTACATCAAAGATCAAACCTATGATTCGTCAACTTGCCCTGGTCTCCCCTATCTATGATAGTATCGCGGTTTGTTATTGATGTGTAACGCATTATAAGTACCTAATGGATATTGTGATATGATTAATTTGGAATTTATTATAGGTATCTATTATAGGTAAATTTTTTTCAATACCTATTATAGATAAATATATAATATGTCTTATACCTAGACTGACAT